CTATCTATCTATCTATCTATCTATCTGGGTCTGGGATGGCTGAGTCAGTCATCCATAGACTTAGTCAATTATGTACATAATCCCTGTAATGAGATTTCCAGTAGCACGAGTGAAACACCAACCCCGAGGGGCAGGAAGTTATGTTACATTTCTGTAGAAAAAGGCAATCACTGCCGAACAACTCCCTCACTTCCTTTCTTTGCGACTCTGTCTCTTTCTGTCTTTGTTTCTCCCTCTCACACTCTGGGTCACTTTAGACGTGCACACACACACAGAAAGGCTGAAATAAATACAGTGACTCAGAGAAAACTAGAATACACACGTCATGCACGGAAGTCAAAGTTTCTCCTGCTGCCCAGCAAAAGACACTATGAGGTTAGAACCCAAATCATAGATCTTGTATGTTGCCTCGCATGCAAAATGGAAAAAAATCTGAATTTTAAACTGATCTCTGTATATCAAACAAGAAATATATTACATTTCCTAGTGGCTCGTAGCAAATCTAAAGATAAAGTAAAAACCTTTTGTGTTTTGATGTTTTTTCCCCATTATGTTTACCTGTTTTGTTTTTGTCTTTTTTTTTTTTAACTGACATTTTTGGGATATATTCATACAGTTTTTTGTGACAGAAGCCCACACCCTTTGAAAACAGTTGTTTTTAGCAGTTGATATGCATGACTATCAAAGCTGGATTTCAATATGCTGTGAGATTAATTCCAAGCAGCCTTTTTTCTGGCATAACCATTAGCATTAACCCCCTCCCCACCCTGTGACTCCCCTCCTACGCCTGCTGATGGATAATGGTGCTATTCCCTTTGGAGCAGTATCTCCATGAGGCACGATCTGTGGAGAGACGTGGGAGGTCACGACTGACACAGCAGCCCCTTTCTGTGCATCCAGCCAAAAAAAAAAAGAGAAAAAATCTAAAAAATGAAGTCAGTGAGAGTCTACATATACAGTAACAATATACATTTGTGTTTGCATACCGTGTCCTCCTCTCACATATATTAGGTAACAAGTATTCTTTACCCTAACTTTTAAATGTTTGTGCAAAAATGCAGCAAATAATCCCATATTTGACAAAATATTCATCCACAAACTTTATGTGATTTAAAGCATAACTTAGAATTTGAAAGAACCATAAATTAGGGTTTTTTTTTGTATTGGTGGATCTTGGCAGCAGAGTGTGGCTTTCAAGTCATTCATTATCTCTAACTTTTTAATGTTCTGCGAATGGTTTTAACTTCTGCAGAAGGAAAATGAAATGCATGATGTATAATTTCATAAGTATGTTTGTGTAATTACTTGTGTGTTTGTGTGGGTGGGAGTGTGACACGGTATTATGAGGTGTCAGTGTAATCTGCATATGGTTATTCATACTATCAATTTCTGTGCTGTTTTCCCTGTCAGTGCACACGCTCGCACATTTTTTTTTTTTTTGAGCACGTGTGCATTTCCTCCTCTGTGTGTGTGTGTGTGTCTGTGAGAGCATGTTACAATGATTAATGAGTCTGGAAGACTGCCTGTGGGCTGAGATCAGGTGCAACAAGATTTAACTTAGCAGAAAACACTCAATTCTATTCCTACACATTCAATTAACCCGTCCCTGTGCACCTCTCTCGGCTCGCTCTGCAGAGGCATTCATCTCTGAGCTCACACATCACTCTGCTCCGGCCGTTGAGTGCTCCCATTTAAATGCCATCTTTTATTTGCAGCACTTTTGTGTTTACAGAATGAGTTTCACACCTAACATTTAGAATCCACCTTTCAGTTCAAGAATGGTACTATCTACACCCCATCTAAAGTTATATAGTTACTGCTTCCTTGAAGCATTGTTTCAAGTCTTATTAACTACTCACATTAGCTTTTATTATGCCTCTGTGAACTAAAAATTGGCTAAATAGCCACTGAGCTATAAAAGGGTGCACTGAGAATTAGTTCATAATTCATCTATTATGCACATTAAGAGCTGTAAGCTAGTCTCCCAAGCACTTATAACTAGAAAGATGCACTTTAGTGATTTTCCTTACAGGAAAATAATAATGCATTTTTAGAATCACCTCAGCATCTTTACTATGCATTTTTATTGGCGAATAATATAAAGATTTCATGAAAGAGGACTTTAACTCTAACTTAGATCTGCACTTGTGGTTACAGAAAAGTGCCATAGTAGTTTCAGTGCCAATTTAGCAGCATTTGTCTGATTTGTGAGCTTTTAGATTAACAAAAGGAGCAACAGCCAAAACTCTAAATAACAACAAAACATCTTTTAAACAATAATGTGTCACCTTTAAAAAGAAAACCATTCAACATGGATCTGTCAGGCATGAGCAGTGTATTGTATTATATCTGGTATTTTGGCATAAAGCACACCACCCACTATTGCAGCAGGGTTTACAATGGAGCTTTCTTAGATTAAGTCCTTTTTCACCAAAGCCGCACTGACTCATATTTTGTATCATTGTACCAACAAATCCAATTATGTAATTTGATTATGTGCAAAGTGAAAAGTGTTGCTCATCTGGACAAACCTGCTTAAAATTATCACCCAACAATGCAGAGTTTTCAGCTTCTTTTACTTTAGTGTTTTGGGTTTTTGGCCTGTAATTTCTACTCTGATTTGCCAGAAACATGAGAACAGAAAAGCTGTTTGAACATAGTGAGCTATAGTAAATAGATTTTGTGGCTGGGTAACCATGATGGCATTGTTGTATCTTAAAACTGTAACTTTTGTAGCACAGTGGCACATTTGTGTGTAGTTGATTTCTTTCTATGTCAGATTGGTTCACTTACCTCAGCAGACATTTATGCAGCTTTAAGAAGATAAACCCCCACTTGCAAGAAAATGTGAAACGAACACTCACTTCTCATTCTGCCATGTTGTTCTCTTCCATCTTCACATGACCTGATTGTCATTAAAGGTTACTGTGTGCTTCCGTTTACAGGTTGGAGCTTCAGCATGGGTTCAGCGTACCAGTTTCACAGTTGGAGGGTGTTTGTCGTCGTCTGCGCGCTGCCCTGTGTGTGCGCTGTGGTGGCGCTTACCTTCATGCCCGAAAGTCCCAGGTTCTACCTTGAGGTAAACAATTCTTCACAAACGTTTAGAGTAAACCTTTTTCTATTTGCTCCCAAATCTGCTGCATCGGTTGTATCTTAAAGAATGCCATGTCAGTGTGCTGTGTCATTGTCCTCAGCTGTCAGGGCTTATCAGTTTTTACATTCAGCTTCTGCCAGGCAGATTAAGAGTGCTTGGATATTTCCCAGCAGGTACTTTAATCAAGACCAAAAACACTATGAGTCATTCAAAACTATTGGAGGAGGAATTATATGTGTCCGGGAAGCCTGGAGATCTGTGACAGTAGGTTTTTCTGCTGCGGGATAATTAGCCTTTGAAGTGAAATGAGTCATGATCGTCGTGACTCTCCTCATTTTTTTGGCCTATCGTAGAGAGAAATCAAAGGAGCCTATTTGTGACTGCGGATGTGAAACTGTTGCTGCGTTTCCAGTTAAGCGAGACCGGGGTTGATCCCATGAATTTATCTCATCCCCTGTCTCTCTCCCTCCCTCTCCATCCTGTCAGGTGGGGAAGCATGATGAAGCCTGGATGATCCTCAAACAGATCCACGACACCAACATGAGAGCGCGTGGGCAACCGGAGAAAGTCTTCACCGTGAGTGTTTGCTTCTTCCGTGCGCTGCCTAGGCTGGGCTTCCTGATGCTTAAGGAAGCAAAGAGGCTTATATCCTGCCACCACTGGGACAGGTTTTAACGCTTTCACTGTGCAGGATCATATCTGAATTACGGTGGTTCTTGAAAGCTGTTTTGTGTCATTCAGGCTTATTTGCTCCTCGAGCTGCACTTTGGGAAAGCCGCTTAGTCAACACATGTTTCTGGAATTGATCGAGTACTGTACTACACACTGTTTATATCCACCTTTTTGATTCTGATTCGTTTTTCATTGATCATGTGCAGCTGTGCTTTTAGTCTTGTGGGAAACTAAAGATGATCACATTGGAATAAATGAAATACTATAATGCTGGACTATAATGTAAGTAATGCAGAGAAATGAACTGAAAAACAACTGACTAATACTGTAAATACTGTAGTTTAAACTGTTTCTCATTATTGCTGTTCCAGGTAAACAGGATCAAAACCCCCAGACAGCTGGATGAATTGGTTGAAATGGAATCAGAATCTGGCAACCCAGTTTCCAAGTTTTTCTTTAGGATAAAGGCTGAAGTACATGGGGTAAATATTTCTCTTTTTATTTAATGACAGCATGAGGCCTTTACATTTCTCCCCCCCATTAATATGTATTTCATTCCATCATCTCCATTTCAAAGTGTAATGTGATAGTTCTATTCCTCTCTATAGATCTACCTGAACCTTCTGAAGTGCTTCAACTACCCGATGCAAGAGAACATGATGCGACTGGCCATAGTGTGGTTCACACTGTCATTTGGGTGAGATTCTTTGTGTCATTTACATTTAAAAAAAATAACATAAAATCACACATAAAACATACAACATAGGGGAGACACATGTACAGTTCTTTGCCTTTCAACTTATCCCCAATGTCATTTTTGTCATAGAAAAACCAGATGTGTTTCTTTAGTCAGGTAATAGCTCCAGGCAGTCGGGCTTACAGCCACATTGCATTTCTGTCATCTTGATCTCTCTGCTGTGCAGAAGTTGCATGGTCTCGAAATCAATCACCGTCTGCGGATCAATACTGTTCCACTAGTGTCTCGGCGGATGCAGAGATAGGGCGGAAAGCAGCGAGAGATAAAAAGAAAACACTCCCAAAGTACTTTTTAAATTCAAAAGAAAAGCACCTTCTGCTGCGTCTGTCGGCCTCTCCATCCATCTTTGGCTGATCATCAGATCAATTGATTCCTGATATCCTGGTATTGGTGTGTTTTTCTGACTGCAGATATTACGGCCTCTCAGTCTGGTTCCCTGATGTCATCAAACACCTTCAGGCGGATGAATACGCCTCCAAAGTGCAGATCCACACCAACGAACGCATCGAAGGCTTCACCTTCAACTTCACCCTGGAGAACCAGATACACAAAAACAGCCTCTTCATTAATGACCAGTAAGACAAGTCAACCAGCCTGCAGGAATAACGGATGCAAAATGTGATAACTGCATAGTGCAAAATGTTAATCACACAATCCTTAGGTGTAAATAGAAAAGTGCAAATAACTAGAATAAAGTCGATGTAGGTTACAGCACTGCAGCTAAACTGAACATAACTGTGCTTGTTCAGGTTCGTCAACATGAAGCTGAAGTCCGTCACCTTCATTGACTCTACATTTCGTAACTGCTACTTTGACGATGTGACGTCGGTGGGCTCCTTATTCAGAAACTGTACTTTTGTTGACGCTTTCTTCTTCAACACAGGTGGGACATTAAGATTTTAAAACACAAACTCTGACATGACTGCACAGCTATTGTCGTATATTTAATCATTTCTGATTCTAAGACTTATCAGGTAAAATCATGCTTTTTTAAAATTCTTTGCTCAGATATCGATGAATCCAAGTTGATAGATGGCACAGAGGTGATCAACAGCACGTTCACCCACAACAAGACGGGATGCCAGATGACATTTGATGATGACTACAGCGCCTACTGGGTTTATTTCATCAACTTCCTGGGGACTCTGGCTGTTCTTCCCGGGAACATTGTGTCCGCACTTCTCATGGACAAAATTGGGCGCCTGTCCATGTTGGGTAAGAATGAGGGATGAGTGCCAGGTTCATGTTGGAGTGGGCACTTTGGTAATTAAATAATCGATTTTAGCTCTGACTGCTCTTCCTCTGTGTGTGTGTGTGTGTGTGTGTTTGCATGTCCTTCAGGTGGCTCCATGGTCCTCTCAGGCATCAGCTGTTTCTTCTTGTGGTTTGGCACCAGTGAGTCCATGATGATTTTCATGTTGTGCCTTTACAATGGCCTGAGCATCTCTGCCTGGAACTCCCTGGACGTGGTCACGACTGAGTCCTTCCCAACTGTCAGGAGGTCAGAAGACATACATGAGCACATCCTGCAGATTAGTTTGTGGATTACACTTAATGTAGAGACTTACAGATAAAATCACAGATATTATTTAGCCATCTTTAACATATTTCTCTCTCTTCTCTACTGTTTCTGCTGTTTCTCTCTGCAGGGGGACAGGTTTTGGGTTCTGCAATGCTCTGTGTAAGCTGGCTGCCGTCCTGGGAAACCTGATCTTTGGTTCTCTTGTGGGCATCACTAAGGCCATCCCTATCCTCATGGCCTCTTCTGTGCTCGTCGGTGGAGGCCTGGTTGGACTCCGGTTGCCTGACACCCGGGCGAATGTCCTCATGTAACGCCAGAGTAGCATTTGGGATAAAACCTGGATGTCTGAGTCCAAGAAGAAACCCAGCGAGCATTTTGAGTAAGGAGTGCAAGTGGCTTGGTTCATACATATCTTAACACTATTAATCACATTTCACCAATATATCTTAGGTAAAGCAGGATAACAACCAACCTTTTCTCAGAGTATTTGACTTCCATCATACAAATTGGATCCATGTGAGACAGTTATAAGCTTAAACACTTTGGGATTGATTTGTCTGAAGGTTTCACGCAACCAAGATGAGAATTTGCTCAGGTTTTGGTAGTGAGACATCAGTGGGGTCTTGTTTATTGACTGGTTGCACCTTCCAGCTGTAGTCATAACTGTGTGTGGGGACACTGCGTGGTTAAAGCTCAAGGCTTTTAATATTGATACAGTCTTATTAAGACAAGCCAGATGGGAAGAAAATTGAAAAACAAGCTGTAATGAGCACCGCCAACCTGCTGTGTGACAACGTAGGGAATAGATGATCAGACAGAGCGGACTCATGACACAGCTGTATGACAGCTGGCTTGCCCACAGGACTCACATGCGGAATACAGGACAAGTGTACAGAAAGTCATCCCACAGAAAACCAAATGCATAAACTTTATGTGCAAATACATGACACTCACATACACCTGCACTTTTTTCCCCCACTCTATACTTGCATCATACCGTAAACACGTTACTGTACTTTGATCAATTTGCTCAAATATCTGCAAAGTTTTCACAGTAGATACTTAGGAGACCAAGCCCTTTGCATTACCTGCCCAACTAAGAATCATAAAGGCCATACTGAAAAACTGTATTTTCTTGTACCAATAGCTGTGTGTTAAGTTGAATTTAAGGATGCTAATTTTTATTTTCTGCTGTGTTATTGTGGAAGTTGGAATAATTAATTGCTCATTTTGTCCAAATGTTGTTATTCCACGTCCCCTCCCATGTGTTGTATTATTGTACAGAGGCTCTCTGGTGAGCTCTCCTTCTGATTTAGCTTTGTGTTGGTTCCTGCTTGTGGCAGTGACATGTCCTGCTGCTTCCTTTCAGAAATACTGAATGGCCTTTTTTAATGTGCCTCTCCTTGACTGGAGCAGTCTGCCCATAGTCATGTGCTGTCCAAAGGTTATAAAGGAACAGACGGAAACTGAAAAGGGAGAAAAGAGACAAAATAATTATGGCTTTTTTTTTCTTCTTCTTGTATATATGTGAAATATGTGGCCAATAGGATGTACATTTATTTTTGGTCTGAACCTCATCTGCTTTGTTAGACATATTCATTTTGGTAAAACTTATTTTTGTGAGTAAGATTCCTCCTCTTCTAAAAAAAACATGACAATACTACTCTAGTAGTACTGTCATGTTATGATTGGAGGTGTAAGTCACCATGCATGTCTGCAGAGTAATATTGTAAATAAGAAATACCTACTGGTGCAACCCAAGATGAAAATGTCTCCCAAGGAAACTAAGGATTGTTTTTAACATGTTATCTTATTTCATTGGGTTAAAATTAAACTCAGATAAGGTTTGCATTTACATTTGAAGCTATAAAAAATATATGCAAAACTGGTTAATTAATTTAAACTCTATCATTTGTTGGCAAACCTTGCAAAAGTTATTATTTATCTGGTCTTTCGCTATTGGGACGTCAGTGAACACAGTTTAAGATCACGATGATGATATCACAAATGATAAGTGAGAGGTAATGATAATATCATGTTATTAGTTGCAGAATGTCATAATACCTCTCAAAACTGACATTTTAAAGAATAACAATTCAGCTCCTTTGAGTCTTGTTTAATTTGTGCCTGTGGATTGTATTTTCTGTGACTAATAGCCTGTGTTCTCCCTCTTTTCTCTGTATTTGTTGTATTTATGATTGCAGCGTAGACGTGGTTTGCTCTTGCACTGCAACTGGCTCACTCATGGCTCCTTAAAAAGAAAGAAAAAGCAAAACTGTTCCACACACATCCTTTTCCATAAACCTTTTCCCAGATTTTTTTGTGCAATCAGTTGGAAATACATCGTGAAGTGTGCTGCTATTGCGCAATAGATGTTTTTGACCATATGATTTAAATATATTTTTGAAACAAGAGGACGGCGTAGAGCTTCTAAGCAGCGACTTTTGCTTTTTGAGAATATCAGATGGAGTGAAGAGTGTGGTTCTGGATATGTTGAAACCTTAATTAGTGGCAGATCTACCTGATTTATTGTATTTGGGAAGAAAATATTACCTGTTATGTTTGAGGTATTTGGAGTATAGGGTATATGTACTGTATGTGTATATGTGTGTGTGTGTGTGTGTGTGTGTGTGTGTGTGTGCGTAAGAGAGAGAGACAGAGTGCTGTATGTGTGTGTTGGCCTCCGTATGGATGCATGAATGTAAATATTGTCCATATCAAAGCTGATATTGGTGAAGTTCGGGGTTAAATGTGTATAAGCTCCTTGATTGACTCATGTGTCGCCTGCTTTGTCTGAGCGATAAGTCCATCCACTGTATCTCTGTTGTACATCTCTGTGTGTGTCCTTGGCTTTCACCTGCTACTCTGTGTGTGTGTGTGTGTGTGTGTGTGTGTGTGTGTGTGTATGCGTGTGTGTGTGTGCGTGCGCAGACTTGCATGTGTGTAAGAAAACTTCTGTTCTTTTGTGCTCAACTTTGTGTTTTTACTGTAAATTTTCCTGGCAGAAAAATGACGGCAATATTCTGATTTATTTATTTCTTTTCGTTGAGAAAAAATGTGAATGTATCACTCTTGTACGTTCTGTTCATCCATTTTATGGAGGTAGTGAAATGTATGTCGACAATAAAGTTGTGAATATTATTGTGAAGGGCCTGCCAGTCAGAGGATGACTGAGCTGTATGTTCAGAGGTCCGTAAGTGTGAAAATATGTGAAGAAATATTTGCCAAATGATGCCCTATGAATAATGTTAGAAACCGGAAAGGCAGGAAATGCAGACTGTGCTGCTTTTGAACATATATAATAAAAGTTATGTTCTCTAGCAAATTATGCTGGGCTTTTATTTCACATGCTTTAACCTGTAAAACCCCAGGACAACATTTATCTCTGTGCTCTTTTTAAACACCGATCAGCCACAGCAATAAAACCACCTGCTCACTATTGTCTAGGGCCATGAGAACAGCTCTAACCTAAACACAGGACTTCTGAGGGTTCTGTGAGTTGCGTGTTTGGGCCTTTGTTGATTGGGCTTGTCCTGATGCATCCTGTGAGTGATTGAAAGGATTGGTATCTGGGGAGTTTGGAGGCTGAGTCAACACCTTGAGCTCGTTGTTGTGTTCCTTAAGGCACTCCTGAGCAGTTTTTGCAGTTTGACAGGGTTTATTGCTCTGCTGGGGGGCAGTCGCTGGTGCTGAGGAGTGACATTTGCTATGGGGAGCGCGCTTGATCTGCAACAATATTTTGGCAGGTGCTATGTGTCAAGCTGTAATTCACATGAATACCAAGACCCCCAGTTATTCTGCAGAACATTGCATTGTGACAAGATGACCACTGTTATTTACATCACCCGTCAGTGCTTTTAATATTGTGGCATTGCATTTACTGAACTTCGCAGCAGACATTTGCACCAAGATGGGCTCCTAATTATAACATATTTTAGCATATCATGAGCAGATGCTACAAAACACACACTTGTGGGGCAACCGTCTCTGTAGGTTGAAAGCCACATAATACAAAGTAAGCTTGGTTGTCAGTGTATTTGGTACACTTAAAACTATCGCAGTGTAATAGTGCAATACCAAACAGTTTAATATAAAACAGCCCTGCAGTAAAATTAGATTTTCACAAAAGTTAAAATGTTCAGTTTTTATTAAAACTGGTAGAGAAGGTGTTGAGTTGGTCTTTTCTGAGGCTGTAATGTTTGTGTGAAGCCTGTTGAATTATATTGTGCAACACTGAAAACAGTATCCAACATGCAGCGTGTCCTCATTGTTATAAATGAAGCAACAGAAGCACCTGTAAGGGTACCTGCCAACTGAGCACATGCATGATTCCAAAGTACTGCTGCCACCTAGTGGCTAAAGTCAAGTATTTAAATAATTACAGTAACAAAATGTAGTGTAACAGTGTGAGTCCATGCAGGTGTAAAGAATATGTCAAAGTTTTGTTACCAGGACTTTTATACATATTTTTTTAATACAATCTTAGAAATAGAAGTGTCTTAAGAAACCTTTTGGGGTTCACTTCCCACTGCCAGTGCGAAGGAACCATTTAAGTTTTAAAAGCTTTGTTAAGGAAGCCCTGCAGCAGAGGTTGCTTAAGGAGCCCTTTGGAAAAAAACATCAGTGATCTGTTTTGTGGGATTTGTGATTCCATTATAAATTCTGTCTTCTTTTTATTACCATTTTGTTATGTTCCTATGTGCACCTAAATAAAAAACAGAGGCTGTTTTTAAAAAAGCATTTAGGCAAAAAGGCATTAGTGTCAAGAGCTATTTGCACACAAATCGGTTTTAAAAGCTCTATAACTTGATGCCAAATAAACTATAACCAAAAATGATTCCTCATTATCTCTGCCATGAACACACTCACAATAAAACAAGCTTCAAAAATAAATTAAACATAAATGCAAAATGAAAAATGTCAAACAGGTGTACACCCAACTGTACAAAAAATCCTCTAGGGACACCTTTTTTTTTTAGTCATTAGAGGTTCCTCCAACAATGTCTTCTCCAAAATAAACTAATAAAATTCCTCCCCCTGAATATCCCCAGACTTTCTGGAGCCTCCTTCTAAGAGAGTACTGTGGTGACTTGAATTGACTTTTTAAACTTTGCTTGATTACCGTTTGTGATAAAAACTTGTGGGATTATTTTCAGATCATGATATATTTTAAATTATGTGCTTTTGTGTTGAAAATATTTCAAAGAATTTTTTGGATAATAATTTTAATTTTTTCATCTTTGTTTTATTTTATTTTATTTATTTTTACACTAACTGCTTACATGACAACAACTGACTTTACTGTATCACAAGGATCTTTAGATACCAGCCTCTGTAGTTTTAGCTTATCTTTTCTTTTATTTAGTTTGCTCTTTTAAAGTATATATTTGGTTGTACTGCCTTGTGTTTGATGTTTCCCATTTTTCTTTGTCTTATGTAAAGCTCTTTGAATTGCCTTGCTCTTGAAAGGTGACACAGATAAACTTGCCTTGGCAAATACACTTCTGTGCGATATTACACTAAAAAAATAAAGTAAAGAAAAGTAAAGGTGTTAATTGAAATCAAAAATGGTTCTTGGCAATGATGCCACTGAAGAACCATTTTTAATTCCACAAAAAAACGTTTTAGCAAGACTTTCTTTAGGAGTTATTCATTGAAAAAAAAAAAAGCCAGCAAAAAATGGTTCCTTTGGGCACCATGATTTACAGTCCAAAGAACTTTAGCAAAAATAGGTTATTTAAGTAACCACTGAAAGATATGTATTTTGATAATAGAAAAATAAGAGCAGCATTTCTGGGTCCCTTCCATTATAACACAGTTAATATTTTGGGCTCCAGACTGTTGATTAGACAGAACAACATACTACAAGCTTAGGATCTGGAAAAACTGTGATGACCAAATGATTAACAGTTAATCTGCAGTTTAATCAATAATGAAAACAATCATTATTCGTAACTCTAATTTTATGGTGTCACATGCCATCAAACCAAATAACTTCAAAAACAATGAACATTCATCTAAATATCTTTAGTCATTGTATATATGTAGAATGACAAATATTGAAAGTGTACTCCTCATCTGTGCAAAGAGCAGTTAAAGAAAAGCTTAGGAATACTACACACAAGTTATAATAACAATAATAATAACTAAGACCCAACACACATAATATATCCCTACATTCAGTTTGTACCATTCCTTCACTACAAAAAACGTAAAAACATAGTTTTAAGTACATTTCAAATGTAAAGTCAGCAGTGTTTAGTGTAGTTATGGCTCTGGGGTAAAACTGTTTTTAAAGAACCACATAAAGTACGTAAAGAATCATCAACTATACAAAGAGGCTCTTGAATTGGTGATGGTGCTTTCAAGAACCAGAGAGCCCTCTGAAGTACCACTATTAGAGTTGAGTGCTGCAGCAGAGTAATGGTATTTTCCATTTTTCTCGCAGCAGCAGTGAAGGCAGCAGCGGCAGCAGCTCGCGACCAGCAGGTGGCGCGCGGCGCAGACTCCGCGTCCCGTCAATCATTTCATGTCACGATAACACCGAGCAGGAGCACTTTGTTCAGGAGGCAGCTCCACCGCCGCACACCATGGGGTTGTTCTGCTGCGAGTCTCCGTTGACACTTTCATGAAACTTCAGGAAACTCTTGTTCCCTGTTATTTTTCTCCCTCCCAGTTAGCCCGAGCAGATATTGTATTGATACCAGCAGGTCCTGAGAGGCGGCGTCCCGCTGTTGGCTGTTAACGGTTAGCTTGAAGTAATTTCCAGTTCAGACGAGTTCACAAGTGGAGGAAACGCGGCAGGATGTACCATGAAGAAACCGCAACGTTACAGAAGCCACGCTATGGAAGTAAGTAACGCAATTTCTTACGAGTTTCAAGCTTACAGGCTGTCAGCTTTAGTCATTTTGTGTTTGTGAGGAGAAGCTGGTGTGTCAACGTTAGACATTGATGAGCAACAGGTGTTTCACCTGCACCTGACTGCGGGGTACCTTCAGTAGGTGTGGCAGCCCCTGGAAATAGGATAAAACTCTCATGAAATGTGCTCCAAAGAGTGCGAAAGTGGACAAACTGTCAGTAGAAGTGTGTTCTTGAGCCACGTCCTTGTTGTTAAAATAAAGCTGCCGCTAAATATTTTCAGTTATCTTCCGTCAAGGTTTCCGTAAATGCACCACAGTGATTTTTATCTTTTTATTTGATGCCAGAGGCCAGCATATCAGCATGTCTACACATACGGCATTTTCTCATAGGTTAAACATTAACTTTGGATTTCTGCTGCTGTTGAGAAATGTACAACTAACTCCACAAGAACGTCAAGAATGTCACTGATTTGATAAAAACTCATCTAAAATCTGCTGAATGCTTCCAAGGCAGGTTTACTGAATGTACCTTGTCACAGAACAACATCTGTGGGCAAAGTACAGCCTTCATTTAGGTCTTCACTGCTGTTTTTTTATCACCTCTACCTTGAATCATTACATTTTATTGATCATCTCGTGCCACTGTGGCTCCACAAAAACTGTATCTGTAGAAAAACAAGCACAACTAATGAGTAGTTTGTTGCAGACTGTAAAATAAGGTGTTTTTAATTTGTTGTCATTGCGTAAAACAGCCCAAAGTTGTCCTGAGTTGCCCCTGCATGCATTTTTATCTTGCAAGAGACCAAAGCAAAGCTATTCCCTGGAGTTAATTTCTGTAAATGTCATAGTTTATGGAGTTGCTTGTGAAATGGACAAACTAAAAAAATAAATAAATCAGTCATGACTTGTGGCTCCCCATCGGGTCCCCAAAAAGTCAGACTGGAGTAACCCTGCAGCTAAACAAAAGCATGAGTCATAGTCACTGACACTATAACTCAGGTCCGGTGAGCCTGTGACACACAAACGCAACAAACCCATCCTGATAGTTAAATATATCGCTCTCTGCAAGAGTGCAGACAGGCTCTTCCAGGAAGTGTGTGTGTGAGTGAGTCAGGAGAGGTGGTGTGTAATGGCTGCACTGGGGCGAGTGCTCATGTGCGTTTTCATCCATGACATCTGCACAGCTGGGCCGCTAAGCTATGTTTGTATGGCCGGAAACTGATGGTGTAAAACATTTCACCCAAATGGCGAGACAACTGTTTGTGCGTCTGTAAATGCATGTGTTTGGCCTGTGCCTCTCTGCACATGTGAGTATTATATGTCGAGACTCTACTGAGACTTGGCGAACGGATGTCTCTGCAGGTGGCTGATGAATGGACAGACTATAACAGCTTGAGAGGTTTGAAAGATTCTGGCCAGCTCCATTGACACAAGATGGAAAAGCTGAATTTCCCACACATAAAGTTGTTTTAGACTACACATTGTCATAACAAGTAAAATGAATACAATGTAGGCCTGAAATCACACGGATGTAAAATGCTACGGAAGTTAGATTATAATGACTAAGGCCAGTTTAAACTTTTGCCCTCTTCCTGGGCTATTAGATTGCATCATTTAGGCTAATCAATCAACACCAGTTTAATATGGCATCAGTAGAGCCACTAATAATAATGCCACTTTTTAACAAAAGAAAAACAGACTGGTGTTTGTATTAATTCCTCAGATTTTACTGTACGTCTCAGTGAAGGAGAGATAAACCCCACAGACTGTGCTAGTCCATGTGAAACCTCAACCACCAGCCTGTAGTCCAGCGAGAGAAAGTTCTGATCTTATGCTGAGCCCCTGCGTCTGAGATCGTACTTTCACTCAGCCAGAAATAAAGAGATTTGATTGGATTAGAGTGGGGTAAAGAGCGCTGGGAGGGGAGGAGATCTCATTAAGCTGCAGGTAAAGGTCAACTCTCAGCAGAAGTCACTTGTCAGCTGGGCACCCCGCGAAGGCCGTTCTGACATGGTCATTTCTTCTCCATCATACAGGGGCTCATTGGAGCATGCGATCTAGTGGAGTGGACTTCAGCTCTTAACAGTTAAAAAGAAAAAATCACCTTGAACAGGAAATATCATCTTAGTCTTTATAGAATGTTAGATAAGATGAATAAAATAAAGTTGGAGTATTAATATTTCTGATGAATGTGTTTCACTTGGCACTTCTGGTTTAGGGTTGCAGCTATCGATTATTCTGATTGTGAGTTCATCTGTTGTTAGTTTTCTTGTTTGATGATTCGTTATTTAGTCTATAAAAAGTCAGAAAATATTGAAAATGTTGATCAGTGTTTCCCAAAGCCCAAGATGACATCCTCAGACATCTAGCCTTGTCTACAACCCAAAACTAAAACATGTGAATTTTGCAGTGTGTTGTTCGAATAACCTGTTGTATGAATAAGTTGTGTCATCTTTAAGTGAACTTCCTGTATGATGAATATAGACCATAAAAAAATCTTCTCTGCTTTGGGACAAAGCTACAAAAAAGCCACGCAGCCCTTAAAGTCGCTCAGCTATAATTCAGTGTCATTGACTATCTCTTGTCCAACTTAAACAGCATTTTTTTTCAATCGTAATCATGTGTAATTAAGACCAATAAGAAAGCACAACACACTACGTAGTATGATGAATGATGATGACAATGGCGGGATTTTGAATTTTCTTGCTTTTTCCAGCCATTCAAGATGATGAGAGGCTGTCAGCGGAGGAGATGGATGAGAGGAGGCGACAGAACATCGCCTACGAGTACCTGTGTCATCTGGAGGAGGCCAAACGGTAAAGTGGGAGGAGATAAAGGAAAAAAACCCTACAGATAAGAGGAGCTTAATGGAACATGCTGACTGAAGACAACCACTTTTCTTTATACTATTTGCTTTGTTGTAGCTTATAGGAATTACGGTGGGTGTGTTCTTGTGTCAATAGTTAGGTTTGTTTAATGTTTGATTATGTAGCGCAGTTTGTGTGTTCAGTGAGCATTGTTGCAGGGAGTGGTTGAGAAATAATGCGATGGACAGAAAGTGAGGACAGTGTGAGGGAACAAAGCAGTGTGTGATTACCAGTGTTTGTAGTAACATGAAGCTGCAATGACGGATAAAGGCAGAATCAGCATGCATGTAAATCGATGACACGGAGCTGTAAACATTCATGAGAGCAAGGCAGGGGAGGTGCTGAGCCAGTGGAAAGAATGGCTCACCACCAAATAGAAAGAATCCACAAGAATCATTTTTTCAAACGTGAGCTCCTCTGACGGCAGTGTACATTTGATGACTATGAGGAGTCTCTGTCAGGTGCCTGAGCACAACTAAACCGCTTCCTGCCATCTTCATGAGGGCATCCATTTGAGCAGAGAAGGAACAGGAAGTGTGATCACGCCTCTTTTTTTTTAACACTGATTTTGAAACTACTCCACCCAATGACACAGAGATTATTTCCCGGGATTAATTTATTATGCTTATTCCACTGCAGCATGGTGAAGTGTGTTGTGGTGATGCAAGTCAGACGTGTACTTGGGACATGCTTTATGTGGATGTGTACAGGCTCCTTTACATCAGCATTTCCTCATAAGTTATTGTTTGACAACTGAACTTGCACTTTGACTCAGTAAAGGCTGTTTGAATAGCCTACATTATCTGCTTATGTCACAGGATAGTATGGGTTTTCAAGGCCATGTCGGCGTAACGGAGCACAGATTCAACCACCATCATAATCAGGTTGTGGCCACAATGTGGTTTGTTAATTGTTTTGGCATGGGTTGTCAAAACTTTAGTGGAAGGCTCGCTGAAATGCCCTGTTTAAGGAAGCAGTCGTTAGTAACAAACCAAGATTAATCTCAAAATGACTAATTTTAACTCTCACTTTCTTGCTTCCTGTTATTTCATCCCAGTACTACCGACTTTGTGTCACTCCTGTCTGTTGTGGAATGGAGCCTCTATTCTGCGAAAGGTGTCAAGTTGGATTAGGATTAAGGCAGTTCCTAATGAAGCTGTAAGCCACAGAGAGTGTGGGATTAAGTTCTGGTCGCTGGAGTCAGCAGTCACTAAAACAAAGCAACCATGAGTAAGCAACTCATTAAGTGCACCTAGGTTATGATCTTTGAAGAAATACTTACATTTTCCACTTTTTTAAGATTGTAGGAAACATTGTTAAGTTAACCGACCACTCAAGATCACTGAAGTTGCCAAAACTTTTTTTTTTTTAGTGTTTCATGCAAAAAACAAACAAACAAAAAAAACATACACATTGAATAGAGATGGACAAACTCTCTGATGGCACCCATAGGTTTCAAATCGTGAGGTGGTGCATGATCTATCCTGTGAAGGCACCTACCTGTTGCTCTAAGTGGACATGCCCTTAATCATACATAACTTTAAGCCTTGATACAATTAAAATGCATGAGTTATATCAAATCCACCCCCTGTGAAGTCATCATAAACTGGGTCATTAGCCAAAATGACCAAAATGTTTTTGTACCAGGCTGTAAATGTGTTTATTTCTGCTTTAAAGTTATATGTGTGTCATGTAGGGCAGGGTGATATGGCCAAAAATATTTATCACGATATAGGTGACAATATAATTGATGCTTGACAAAATACTTAAAAACTGCATAACTTAATTGGTGCAAATAAAAAAAAAAAAGAACAATTTCTTTTCCATTTAGCAAGCAGTTGTTTACACTGCATTTGCCCTCCTCTTCATTTGCCTTTGTTGTTGATGTCGCTGTCGTTGCTGCAGCCTTTGTTGTCTTTTATCTGTTATGTGTTACGTGTTAGTTGTACCTGTGAGCTGAGCCTGAGATACGCATATTTCCTGTAGGGGATGAATAAAGTATCTATCTATCTATCCATCTATCCATCTATCCATCTATCCATCAATCTCCATGTGCATGAGACCGGACGAAAAGAACGGCACTGCGCATGTGCGTTTCACTCAATTGTTATCACGATATTTCAGTTTCATATCATCCCCTAACATTACACTGGTATTACCATGCACGGTATGATATGGCCCAGCCCTAGTGTCATGTGTTTAACATGGGGGTCTATGGGCATTTATTTGCTTTTGGAGCAGGCCTGAAGTGGCCATTTAAAGAACTGCTAGTTTTCTTTATCTAAATGACTGTTTAGAAATTGTTTCTGGGTGTGTAATTATTCATAAAACGGCAGCAATAATAATTAACTGATAAATTATCAATGGCTTTGTTAGTTACATCTAATCTGAATGGCAACAGCAGATGTTTTGATTTATTATAGGAGGAAAAGCCCATTTTATTACTAATACCAATTATTGTTGGCACCATTCAAGGGTCCCAGTAGGTCAAGACACTGAGCCAACATGACCCTGAAACTTAAGCTGTTATGTTATGTATGCTATATGTGCCATATTTCAAAAATGATCCATTAAAACATAAATGATCCAATAACCTGTACTGAGGTGGCACAAACAAAAAACAGCCAGCAGGGTCAGTTAAAATGTCCTTATTGACAGTATGGTGGACAGTCTCAGGCACCTTTTTGAAAAATACTCTAAAATAAACATGTTCACTTTGCCTCACCCTGGTGTATGGTGTATATGAACGTACACATTAACATTTTGTTGTGCCTTATCAGTAACTGTTATACAGTAGATTGGTTTAATGTTCAAGGTCCCCTAGATCTTTAACTTGTGCTATGAACTAACAACAAACAATGTCTCAGGAGAGTAAACAGCTCGTGGTTTACATTTGTAGTCTTTTTTGGGAACCTTTTTCATTTTCTTTGACACAGATCTGCCCCGGGGCCATCTATTTCATCTTTGTTTTTAGTGAATGATGTTATCCTAATTTTTAGACACACCCTACCTACCACAAATGCTGCATTTCTCTCTAAAACACACATGCATTTACACAAACACAAACTCATGACCAGCATGACTAAGCTACATGACGCAGGCCTCCAGCAGACAAAGTGTAGTCAGAAATACTGTAGCTGAGAGCAAAAGAGGGTGGTTTATGAATGTGGTAAGAGGGGATAGACCTATGTTCTAGAGTCCAAATGCTGCATTTTGTTTAGCACAGTTGGTCACAGATTGGACAATGGCAGGAAGGCCGTCTTTGTAGGGTTGTAAACAGAAGTACTAGTCTGTCCTGCTTCAGGAGACAAGTTCTCCCTTCATTGTTTTAAGTACAGGAAGTAAAGTTTCACAGGAGAGCTATGTAACCCGTGCAGGATGTTCCTTGACCATGTTTACATGTACCAAGCAGATTTTTTCTCTGTAATCTTGACTATCATCTGCATTTGCTCGCCATTAATATGTCATTTCTATGGAAGATGTAAAGATTCAGTATTTTGTTTGTGTGGGTCTCTGCTTTGATCAGGTTGGCCTTAGCCACTCAGCTTTCCTGTGTCTGTGTCTGTTTTGAAGTCATGTATGCTGGCTGAGAGAGCTCAACGTCCTGCAGTGTAAGAAAATACATGCAAATAGACAAAACACAAAGAACTCGTGCTGCAAATACACACTACACAACACAATACAAAAACATACTGCAATTACAACATCACCAAATACAGAAACACAGTGCCAATAGTAGAGACGACAACAGATCTGTTTCCAGGGGATGCAAAAATGTGACGAACCTGACTGTCAGAAGATTAAAATCTCTTAACTTAACCTGCTTCTGACCAGGTTAGCTCCACGGCATCAGTTAGCATAATGACCTAGCAGGTTAAAAGAGAGCCACCTTCACGACACTGAAAGCTCTGACTTTAAGCTCAACATATGTCGCTAACCCACTAATCTTGCTTCGTAGTATAGCCCGCTGATCCTTTGTTGGTGGTGCTGCTGGCAGTGTGTACAAGGTGTGTCAGAAAAGTTTCAGGACTGGTGTCACAGAAGATATATTTCAAATCCAAACTACGAGTTTTCCCCTTTGAAATAATCCCCCTGGAGTCTAACACACTTTCCCAGCCGTCTCTGTCACGCCGCCATGTGCTCCTGGAAGGATTCTTCAACGATCCTCTCCAGCTCCGTCATCACAGCCATCTTGATGTCATCCATGTCTTCAAAACAGGTCCCCTTGATGACCCCCTTGAGCTTGAGGAAGAGGAAAAAATCCCACAGAGCCAGGTGGGGTGAGTGGGGAGGTTGCTCCAGCCCGGTGATGTTTTTCTCAGCCAGGATGGATGCTCAGGGCATTGTGAGCAGGCGCTTTGTCACGGTGAATCAGCCATCACTTGTCCTGCCATGACTCTTGCTTCTTCTCGTGCACTGGACGAAGCAAACGCTGCAGGATCTCTTTGTAGACAGTTGATGGTCTGAAGGGGAAACTCCTAGTTTGGTTTGAAATATATCTTTTGTGACACCAGTCCTGGAACTTTTCTGACACACCTCGTATCTGTATCGGCTGTGTTGTGTGTATGTGCAGTGCGTTTGTACTGGTTTGTGTTGTGTGTATTCTCAGTGCATGTGTCGTCAAATTGATGAAGGTGTTTTACTTAATTTGCTCTTGTTTTGTCGAGTTGCATGTGTTTCCTTAAGTTGCAGAAACTGAGATCTCATGGCGACTGTACAGAAGGTGCTTTTTCTGATAGCCAGTGTTGTGTGTTATCAACGGCTAACTGATGTGTAATTAAATTGATACCACAGTCACGTCTGCTTGTTATCAAGCCAAGAAATGCCTGCTTAACATCAGTGCATGTAATTAATATTAAGTAGGGAGCATTTCCCGGTAACCGTCCTGAGAAAATCACCGTTAGATTTCTGCTCTTGATCCCTTGAGCTCTAACGCTGAGCTTTGACCTGAACCTGTAAAACTGTACATTCCTCATGTGGAAAGAAACTATGAATCACAAAATATTCTACAAGAGAAGGACTTAACGCTCTTGTTAACATTAGCACACCAAATTATTTTGCAGAACAAATGCAGTGGCTATCAGTGCCGTCCACTTAGTAAACAACTGAAGTATGGCAGAGCTCTTCGTCTTGCATAAACACAGCATTGGTTGACATAATTGGTTATACGAATAGTTTATTCACCAAGGTGCATAGCTGACACACTCCACTGGGTTTGTGTTGACAGTGTATGCATGGTTTGTTGTGCTTGACCTTAATGTGCTGACACATATTTTGCCAGGCTGGATCTTTGAGCACCTACCTAATTAACCAAAACAAGGTGTCTTCTGCTTGCATGTGGGAGGGAAGGCTTTATTGCTAATGCTGCGACTGCAAAGAGGCAGGAGTTGATGGTATGAATGAAACGTATACATGAAACATAAGCAAGCTAAATCACTGCAACTTGCACACTGTCCTTCTGGCAAAGGGTAAACTCAGTTGTAGGGCGTTGAGCAGCTAGATATCAGCTTGTCCATATTTTATAGTTTTTTTTTCTTTTCTTTTTTTTTTTGTCTTAACAGTGAGGTCAGAGGTTTACCCACAGCAGTGAAATTGGTGTCAGTTACAGGCAATAGGATAATGTGTAACAGACTTTCAGACACTCATGATTCACCAAGCTCACAAATCATTCACTAGTTCTTTGGAATGGATTTTTCCTAACATCTCTGGGAATAGTCTGGCAGAGACTGCAGCTCTGAAGCCGCTGCTGAACCTTTCAAAGGGAAATGACATCAGTTTGAAAGAAGGTCAATATAATTCCAACAAAAAACGGAGTATTCTCTTCAGTTTTTTGTTTCAACTTTCTTCAGATATCTCTGGTCAACCTGTCGTGATGAAACTTAGTTGTCTTGCAGAAGAAGAACTCATAAACTTTAACAAGTGTTCAGTATTGGCTGTCGAGTCATTGAAGTGGTATAACTTTATCTTAATCACCATTTACATCACATTGTCGAATTGAAAATTTTAGCTCAAGGACAGACAGCAAGTGTGCCTGCAGCCCCCTTTCTAAAGCATGCTGGACTTAGTGTGGGTGTTGCCTGTAACAATTCCCAGTTCCCTCACCCTAACAGACGACTTTGTTGCTCTGTTTAGCCAAAAGCCTTCCAGTTATTTGTAGCTGCAACAACTCTTAGAGCATAAAGATTAAATATTGCAAACTGCACAAGTTGGGTAGCCCAGTATTATGCTCTTCACAGGAATTTAATGTGATCGCAGCTTGGTTTTTAAAACTGAAATGATTGTGTCCATCTAATTTTAAGTTGATGCTATAGTTTCTGTTGATTTGTTTTTGATGTATTCATATGTTCCTGCTCCACTGTCTTTTGCTTGAATCAGAACTTCAGCAGGTGCAGGAAAAGCCAATATTGACTTGTTGACTACATGCAGGCATTCAGCCAGCTAATGTCTCTACACAGTACCTTGTGATATCAGAGGGCAGGGTAAACAGACTAGTAACCATAGCAATGTTAAAGAGAAGTCAACAAATAGAGCACAAATTAGATGTCCTGATATTGATTTGACTGGAAATGTATACTCTGTATATAGCTGAAATGATCTGAGCTCATACTGGATGTTTTTCATGATGTGCTCATTTCTATATTCAGCTCTGCTGGTTGGGATAGTTTTAGATAATGTCCCAGGGTTTTTCACTGCAGAGAGTTTAAAAAAATGTTTTTAACTGTTCTTGGTATTGGGAGTTTCCTTTACTCATGCATAATCAACATTTTTGCTTGGATTGATTTTTGGTCAAGTAAGGCCATTCATTGCCTTTACTGTACACGGACTGATCATGTTTTCTGCCTTGCAAAGTCACCCCCACAAGTCCTATTCTGAGCCAGGAGCTTGCTTAGAATTTGGATAAATTCCTCAAAAGCCACTTTCTCTGACATCACTGCTGTTCTATGTGATCAATATTCTGTGATGAATATGCCTATAAAGGTCCAATGTCTAATCAGAGGTAATATTTGTATACTTTCAGGTGGATGGAGGCCTGCTTAGAGGAGGATTTGCCCCTTACCACAGAACTGGAGGAGGGACTCAGAAATGGTGTCTACCTTGGCAAACTTGCCAATTTTTTTGCCCCCAAAATGGTGTCTGAAAAAAGGATCTATGACAGAGATCAGACACGTTATAAGGTAAATTTTCTCTGATTCCACTGTTCTTCTTTGTGTAAAGTGTGGTTGCACTATATTTGCATCACAACAGACAGGAAGACTGCTTCCAGACATTTCAAGCACTTGCTGACAGTTTAAAATGGAGTTACACAGGAAAGAGAGAAACATGACAGGCTGTTCTTGTAACATGCAGCTGCTGTGCTGGTGGATTGAGATTCTTTGCTTTACTCTAAACATGATCTTTCTCTTTGTCTTTTTGATTCTAAACAATACTGATCAGACTGTTAGATGGTGCAATAAGTTTAGGAGTCTGTGTGAGGTTTTTAGTTCAGAGCAGCTTGTGCTTGTTTTAAGGTTTTAAATTCAACATTATTTCCCACTATGTCTTTGCAATTTCTTATAATTATGTAGTTATTATGTTATATATATATATTATTATATATATTATATATGTTATATGTTTCATTTTTTATGTATTATGTGTTCATCTTCAGAGTAAAGGGCTGCACTTCAGACACACTGACAACACGGTCCAGTGGCTCAGAGCCATGGAGTCAGTGGGCCTCCCCAAGGTAAGGGTCTTCAACAGCCATCAGTGACACAGATGCTGCGTTTGTTAAAATGCATGTAGTATACAGTATACAGACTTGTTTGAGTCAGCTTTTACAGTTATCATACCTGAAGATTAGAAGATATTGAAACTTTTGTTTTAGACAACATTAGCATTAAGATATAACAACACGCACATTAAACTAGAACAATCTGAAACATAAGGACAGAGATGAGGAAACTTAAGTTTATGGTGTGGTTTACTCATCTATAGGACTGATTTTGATATCAGCACACTAATCTACATGATTCCAAAAGATGTGACTTGTTTTCAAGAAGAAAGACTCCTTGAGAGGCTGTTGAGTTGTTGAGCAGCAGTTTCTATTTGGGGCAGCTTTTTTTTTCCTCTTTGCAATATTATGCTCCATGCAAGAAGTTGTTTTTTTTTTTTTCTGACAAATGTTGCCAGTGGAATATCAGCTGTCTCACAATCCCATCTGGGTTGGGAACTTACAACAAGGAAAAACAGCCATTTCTGCCAAGGACTTCCCTTTTAAGTGATGCTTGGCACCATAAGATATGGAAATAGGAGGTCCTGGCTTTTGTTATGTGTATAGTGGCTTGTGGTTTATGTTCATATTAGAGGGCTGAAACAATCTTACCAACTAGGAACTTCTAGCTACAGTGTAGCACATACACACAACATTTCATACATGAAATTGTAATGAGGGTGTGGTAGTTCTGACAGAACAGTATTAACCTCATTACATCATTTATGAGATGACATAGGACTTTACTGAGGCGTATCCTGGAAATGAAAATGAAGTGAAACAGATACCCTCTTTGGGATCGCTGTTTATAATAATTTAATAGGCAAGTATTGCAAATGGCCTTTTTGGGAAGTGTTATTGTGATAACACCGCCATACATATACTTATGTGCTTTTGAGCAAAAATCGTAATGCAACGAGCATCAATCATGTGTGACATGATTAGTATCATTTCAGAGACCAAATTAGGCCCAAATTGCATTCAGCATTTTTATTAGTAAAGTTTGGCCAGTGCACAAAGGAAACTTATGAAAGATTAATGTTTGAAACAAACTAGATTGTACAGTATTGTGAGCTGTGATAAAAGGAGTAGAGCAACAGCGCAGACACCTCTGAAATATACAATCAATGAAGTAGCACTGACATGATACTATCAGTGTGAAGCTCTTATCACTTAGTACTTAAGAAAGTATGCTTGAGATTGCTGTTGATGCAGCTCTAAAAAAGTATGTGCTTTTCTAAGGTAGTACTTTCTGCACTACTGCTGCCTGGAATTTAGTTATAGTTTGTTGTTATTCCTATTATTATATCCACTGCTTGCAACTTCTCATTCATCTAGAGGGTAAAATGTAAAGAAAAATATGTGATGGATAGTGTGCTGCTATTAGGCTGCAGCAGAATAAAGAGTGTCAAGACAGTGAGAAAAGAAGAGTGACTGTAACTATTGTGGTTTCTGCTTTCAGATATTCTATCCTGAAACGACAGATGTGTACGATCGCAAAAACATGCCCAAGGTGGTGTACTGCATACACGCACTGAGGTGAGACTAAAAGAGTTCCAAAAAACACAGTGATTTTTCACTTTGCTGTCTTTATGCATTTCTCACATCTGACAGCAAAATTGCTCACTCATCTCTATTATCAATGGCAGGATACCCTGTTGGTTTTTCCTCAAGGTGCCACACCTGAATGCTGAGCGTGATTTCACTTCTAGGAGAGAAATATAAACCAGTGGATGAAAATGCTATTGTTAGATGACCTAAAGGCTAAGTGCTGGTATCTGGTAGCTTGAATTAAACTCAGCCATTGGGCAGTTTAGACCGCATTTGCCTGCAAATGTTTGCTTCTGCATATGTGCAGCAGCAGTGTGTTCATACTCTAAGCCTGACATCTACTCACAGTCTAATTTTGATTCATTTCCTTTTACTCGATAGCTATACCAGGCAGTGTGAAACACTTGGGTTGACTTTGATATGTTGTGGTTGTGTTGCCATCTACGCAAGATTTGAAAACAACTTGTATGTGAAATGACAGATGTACAAAACTGCTTACATCTGCTTACTGTGTCCATTAACTTTAACCTCTAATTTTTTTGTCAAAGGCAGAAATAGTTCTTGGTAAATGATATGAAACAGAAAGTGGAAAATGCTATTTCTGCTTGTGTTAGGTAGTGACAGTACTTCTTGTAAAACACAGACCTTGTATGTGTTTAAAATACGTCTTATATTCTTTAGAACCACACATAGACTGCTAGTAAAGCAATATTCTGAAAGTCACACATTTTTAGGCCTTGAATTACCTGTTTGCTCAAAAACCTTAAATAATGGGCTAATTAGGAATTAAATTCAGTTTTTCAAATAGTGTGACTTATGTTTGTTGGTGAGCATAACTACTCTAAGCACACTGCTTTTACAAACCGTTTTATAATTAATTGTGTTAAACTCTTTACATGTAGCTCCACAAAGTGGTCATTTATTGATCACAGTTTTGGGTGTGTGAAAAATTTTGCAATTAAAGTCAGTGGTCTTCTCGAAATGCGTGTAGCTTGACTTTACTTTTGGTCCTTGCTTATTATGTTGCAATGACTTTGAATGAACTGAAGGGTGAATTTTTATCCGTCTTACCGATCCAGTCAGCCCAACACAGATTTAGGGAGTGGTTTTGTGAGCTGCCTGGATTGTTTTCTCTGTTGTAGTGTTTCGGTCAGGTCCTAAGAGAATTGGTTTCCTTCCCTCCTTATGCACACACGTGCTCTTCCTTCCTGCGAGTCCAGCTCAAGTCCCACAAGGTCCCAGTGAATGCTTTGCTTCCCTCGGTACAAACACATTGAGACAAAGTAGTGGATGCTTCTGCACATTCACTGTGGTGGAAAATTGAAAAGGAGCATGATATAACAGGGAAAGAATTTACCTTGCAAGTGCATTTTTAAATGCTTTTTCAAGTGGTACAGATGAAGGCCTAATTTGTTGTGCACAAGGAAGAGATAATCATTGAAAATAAACAGAGGGAATCCTCAGTGTGGGGAGAGATGGTTGCTCTAAGCTAGTCAGCTGATTGTCTGTAAGCACAGTGGCTTGTAATCATTTGCCTTCATTAACCCCGGTCAGCTGTTACTGTGCTTGTATCTCAGACTGAATCAGCTGCCTGCATGTTAAAACATTACCCTTTGTATAAGCAGATTTTGGATGGTTGTTTAAAGCTTCTGTGTTTAAAGGACAGAGTGCATCTTATGTTTACACACACATGCTGTGACCAAAGGGCAGAACAGGCAACAGCTACAACAACTCTTCCATTCAGAGCTGTGCTGATGCCAGGCCTGTCTCAAATATCTATAATGCATTACTGCTTATCGGGTACCTGCCAGAAGATGAAAGTTTTATGAAGTTTCCAGACACGTGCTTGTTGAATTCATTGCTAGGTAGAAGGTCTGTTGGCCGCTGTCAGGTAGTGCTAGTTGTAATCTGAGCCGATGCTACCCCCCTGTGGTGTGGAGGGGTAGAAATCACAAGCAATCCAATGTTGAGAGAAAAATAAACATCTGCAACAAATGCTCTGCTTTTCAATCTTTTATGAATCTTTCCCTCTGTATGGTTTATTTCAGCTTGTACCTGTACAAACTGGGAATTGCACCACAGATCCAAGACCTGCTGGGCAAAGTGGCCTTCACAGGTAACCCTGAAAATCAGTTTCTGTTTCAAAAACATAAAAACTTTGTAAACAACTATATACAACGTAATATTAAAGATGTATATTAAAAAACTCTATATAAAGATGTAATTAAATAATGAGTACGAGCACAATGTATATTGCACAGAGGGGATATTGCACAGAGGTAGTGGCAGTTGCATATTTACAATATATTGCACTTATTGTGACAAAGAGGCATTTATGACTCTGACAGCAGTTGGAAAGAAGCTGTTTTTCAGTCTATTAGTCATGGTTTTGATGGCCCTGTACCGTCTGCCCGACGGCAGTAGGCATTACAGTAAATCTAGACATAGATTCAGAGGTTCAAAGGATTACAGAAAATAGTCCTTTTATCAGACATTTGACTTTGCAACAACTCTTAAAAGAAAATGAGTATAGTTTCATGTATTACATTTTAGCCTTTATTATGCCATGTCACCACTATTTCTCTGTCATCAACAATATTTGTCTTCCAGAGGAAGAGATCAGTAACATGAGGAGTGAACTGGAGAAGTACGGCATTCAGATGCCAGCTTTCAGTAAAATTGGAGGTATTTTGGCCAATGAGCTGTCAGTGGATGAAGCTGCCTGTGAGTCCTTTGACCTTTTATCTTGATTTCTAGGGATGTTTCTGACTGTTAGCATTGGATGCTGTAGACTTGTGTTATTTTATAGTGTGTCTTGGCCAACGCTAAAATGTTTGCATTTGCTCTTATCTCAGTGCATGCTGCTGTGATTGCCATCAATGAGGCAATTGACAGAGGTCAGGCATCTGTCACAATGGGAGCCCTGAACAATCCTAATGCAATGCTGAGGAACATCCAGGAAGCTCTGGCCGAAGACTACCAGGACACACTGAGCCAGGCCAAGGCTCGCAAGCAGGATCAGTCCTCGGGGAGGGTGAGAAGCTGAATAAGCATTTCAATCACCTCTTGCAGCTGTTCCTTTGCTACTTAGCACCTCAACTACGGGTCAAACTAAACTGGACGTTGTAAGGTTTTAAACTGCTGCAGTGTAAAAGTAAATCTGATTGCTGTGCCAAAAATCCCCAAAACAAGCACAGGTTCAGCTGAACTAGAGCAAAACTACAGGTTACATCAGAAAACATCAACACAGTTTGGCACATTCGGAATAGGTGTGTTTGATGACTTACCAGCATGCATTAGGCCAGAGGAATTACAATTGCTGTCATCATTTCATCTGCTACTGATGTCTGCACTGTTTCCACTGGTGTTTTTATCCAAAGTGGTGTACAATAGTGTTTTTAGTAAAAGATCTTGCACATGATTACAGAGATGGTTGTTCTTGGCTGTGATCGAATGACATGAGGCATAAAACTCCCTGATGGGCTTTTTTTTAAAACCTTATCTTGTTGGATCTTGTGTCCCTGCACATATAATTGTTTACAAGCTGAAGTAATATTGTTCTAAATACTTCAGTCACATCATGGACTATCAATAATCTGCCAGATATACTGTATCACCGGACAGGAAAACGGTGGTGGGAATTCATCTTAAAATACATGCATGATCATTTGTTTCTGTGACTTATTACCGGCAAAGTGACCACAAGTACTTGCTGCAGGAACTGGATATGTGGCGGTGCATTAACTATTAGTCAGATACCCACTAACCCTGCTCCCTGGACAACTAAATACATTTTCCAATTTTTGCAGGGTTGCCCTTTAAATTTGTGAAATTAAAAAAATTAAAATAAAACATTCTGAGCAGGATAAAGGAACTTAATGAACATCCATTTACGTCGAGTACACTGTGTCTATGTACATGTGATTTTTATTATCTGCTGACCTATTAGCGTCTGTTGACCAACAACAGATGTTTAGCCTTGGATGGTGTTCTGAAAACAGTGTCACTAATGTACACCATTTAAAACTTGGCGTGAGCAACTTCAAAATTAAATTCACGACTTGCAAAATATGTAAACTTGAGCAGGTTTTTTTATGACTGTATTTTCTGGTACTGACAGCTGAAGTAACTGTAGAGGACTCTCTGCTGTAGTTTGAAAGGGGTTTTACTGCACTGACTCACTCCACAGGCTTGGACAGCACATTCCAGTGGCTGCAGTGTCAGCTGTATTTACACTAACCCTTCACACCATCCAACATCATGCCTCCCATTCTCTTTACAAGTACTGTACAAACATCCCTTTTCACTTAATGGCTGAGATGTGACATGTATAATATGGATAACAAGAAATGAAAATGATCAGTGACAAGCTGGCTATGCTATATTAGATAAATGCATTTTTCTTTATTTTATTTATTTCTGTTGTTCTTGTCCCTTTCATTAGCGGTCTTCAGTTGCTACCGAAGAAAGAGATGTTTATGAAGAGCTGCTGACTCAGCAGGAAATCCAGAGCTGCATTGACTTTGTCAACAGTAAGGACATTTACAACAAATACATTATTTTATGCATAAAATAGAATCCCTATTGCTTTAAGCATATCATCAGCACAGGGCATCTGTAAACTCTGGATAAGCAATAACTACTGTATGATTCAAGAAATGGATATTATATTAAATTTTCCTTGTTTCATTGCTTATCTAAATGCCTTCAAAAGTAACTCCAATGTCACTCAGGGATGCTTGTCTTTGTTTTCTATGTCTTCAGTCCAGGCAGCAATAAGGCAGGTGAATCAAGCTGTATCGAGTAAGAATGAAGCTGCTCTGTTGGCTGCACTCAGGCTCGATGCGCTGGCCTTGCTGGGTGTTCAGGAGTCAAACGGCCACTGGTACCTGGAACATTTTAACACCTACTGCCAACATAAATCAAAGGTATCCTGAGTCAGAGCTTGTTTTCTCAGTAGTTGTTAACTCAGGGTGTCAGGAGAGGGGGCATTTCTGGTTTTCTAATTTCAGCAGTGAATTATTTGGATTTATTTGCAGTTGTGGGAGAAGAGAGAATTAAATACATTTTTAAAAAGCAGCACTGGTGGTATCCTGTGGTTGATCACTGAAAACTACAGTGTTGAAATATATAGAGGAGAAATATGTGTACAATTATTCATTTTAAAAGTTGTCTTTGACCCACTTTTCAAGCTAAATATTTTTTGAGGTATTTTAGTCCATGTGATAGGTCTGTTTAATTTTTCAAATGTTGCTGAGTGGACAGCAGTTTTGTTGGACTGTTGCTGTTGCACTGCATTCACTACTCACACTTTGGACATATTGTATTTTAAAGAAAACATTTATTGATACCTTCAGATAATGAAAAAAAGCTAATCAACCCTCCATATCTTCAGTTGGAATGTACACTCCCATTCACTTCACTCTCCGCTGCACTGCATTAAAGCATGCTGAGTAATCACAGGGTCTTACTGGTATCTCTCCTGTGTACTCTAATCTTTGTGCTGCAGGATGGTGGGAGGGCAGTAGTGCTGGACAAAGAAGAGATTCAGCGAGTTGTCAGCTCTTGCAATGACTTTGCTGAGGCAGAGAAACGAAGTAAGCACATTTTGTAACTTACCATCGATGTTTATAAACACTACTTACGGATCAGTTAAAAATCACATCTACTCACTCATATGTTTCTCAACACTCACATAATATGTAAAGTCTTATCTACTAATGAGTATAGCTCATGATAAATATGTTACCTTCAAAATAATTTCATCATGTAATTTGTAAACTAAGGAAAACATACAGTTTTTATACTGAGAGGTGGTTAAGGAAATTAAGCTCAGGCTATCTGCAAAACATGATCTGTAATGATTTTCTTAACCAGAACTTGAAGCAGTTGCAAAGATCAATACAGCCATTCGTCTCGGCAACTCTATGGACACGGTGGAGGAGCTGACGAACCCTGAGGCACAATTGCCAATCGTCTACCAAACTGCTGCCAACCTCTACCAGGCTGAGCTTTTTAGTTTGCAGCTGCAAGGGGCGCGGGTAAGACGTTCTGTTTTAGATTTTGACTCTGTAGACGAACATTCTGATACTGATATGCTTACAGGTATGGAGAGGGTCATTGGTAGATATGTATTGGTGTGGAATGTGACTTCATGCTTTTGATCCCGCGCTTTCTGTTCATTAGTCTGGCCTGAGCCATGAAGAATTGAGTGTAGCTGTGGAGATGCTGTCAGCTGTCGCAGTGCTGAACGAGGTGCTGGACACCAAAGACCCCCAAGCTGTGATTGAGCAACTAACAGACTCTCCTCTGGGCTTTACCAACATGGACCAAGACAACCTTAACAGGTAAGATTGGCTGCAGGACACATGGGTCTGGACTGCTGAGGAACAAAAGGTATCAATGTGTGAGAAACATCTGCTGCATATGTAACATTGAGCAGCAGGTTGCAAGTTCACTCTTCTCTTTGGGCAAACATTTCTCCAGCTGACATGTCCTTGAGCAAGACAACACACTTTACCATCTCCCTTAGAGTTGATGATTTTGGGTTCCTAATTAACATGTTTTTACATCTGTTAATTCTGGTGACAATTCAGATGTTTACTGATTTTTGTTGATGCTGCAGTGCTATGGATATATTATACTTATGACAGTGTGTTTTAAAAACAGTATTTGATTGAAAAAAACTCAATTTACAGGAATAATGTCTTTACATGTCCCCAGTACTGTAGACTGTAGGTCTCCCTCCACTAGGTTGAAATACTGAGATGTGATTTCATTTGACGTCATGAAACTTTTTTTGAAACACTCTTTCTCAGGTATGCTGACATGCTTATCAAACAGAGAGCTGAGGCTCTTGCCAGTGGCCAAGAGTTTCTCACCTGGAATGATGTTCAGAAGTGCATCGACACAGTTAATATTCAGGTCCAGGAAGAGCATGAACGTAAGAAAATCTTGCATATTTCTTTTTTTGGTTTAGTTATTGCAGCAACCAATATCTTCTTGATACACTTTTTTTTCATTTTGGAGGACTTTTAGGGCAACAGTTTCAAAATCAACAGTTTGATAAAGCTTTATAGTGTTGTCCTACAATGTTAATTTACACACAATAAATCTGACACATCTTGTGCTCTGCCCCCAGGCATCATAGCAATAGCTGAGATCAACGAAGCACTTAACTCAGGTGATCATCAGCAGACTCTTGCAGCCCTGCTCCTCCCTACGGCCAAGTTGACGGGCGTGAACTCAGCCACAGCCAAACACTACCATGATGTCTTACAATATACCAAACAACTTCTCTGCCAGGTAATGTGACAATCAGTGTTTATTTAGGATATGTGTGGAAAAATATGCGTGTGCAAAATATGCAAAAATTGGCTGACTGAACCATTGTTTAATCACATTTTATAAGTTATCTCACTGTCATTAGTTTTATTGGTGTTGTACAGCAGCCTTTTTCCCTTGTCATGATTTTTTTGTCACTTAATATACATCAATCTGAATAGCTTAATTTTAATAGCTTCTTGGCTTTAAACATTTTTGTAAATATCTGAAAACCTTAACAACAAGAGTACATATTTGCAAAAATATTGTTTGTTTTTGGATATAACACTCTGACAAATTTACAATAGAATTTGTTAATGTACTGTGACTCTGTATCAGCTGGATAACAGTTTTTTTAATCTGTGAATTTGCTGGATGTACATAGGTGGCTTGTATAGAGTGCACAATTTGCATATTCCTTTTCTGATACTGTACATAATCACTCATTTGTGTCAAAGAGATTGTTTTGGACTTCACAGATTGCTGTATTACTCTGTGTATTTCACAGTGTCCAGTCTCAAGTTTCACATCTTTATTTTTTGTGCCTCCCTGCTGTGTCACAACAATGGTCTAGCAAGGAGAGGCTTTTCTTGTGGTCACACATCCAGTGTCACGTCATAACTGCTGGTCTCTGAGGCATCCCACGGAGGGAAATGAATTGTAGGTCTGAGGTTGCTGTTTTCGAAATGAGCATACACAGGAAGGGATCCAGACAACTGTGGAAACAGCAGAGGCACACTGCTACTCGGTAATATCCATAGAGTCTATCGTCCCCACTGGATAACAGACGGATGTAGTGGGTGATATGCAGGATGCCGCTGGGCAAGAAACACACCACAAAGATGATAAAAACCAGAGTGCTGACCTTGATAAATGGTCTCCAGTCACAAGCACTTTGTCCGAGGTGGTAAGCCACTGCCATATGAGCATAGATACAAATCAGGAAGGGCATTATGAAGCCCAGACCAACCAGCATTAGCCTGTATGGCACCAGTGGGAAATGGGATTTTTCCTCTAGGGGAAGTACATCATGACAAGTGGTGATTCCTAGCTGGGTAATCTGGTAGCTCTGCCTCACAAGAAGCTCAGGTACGATAGCAGCTCCAAACAGGAACCATACAACCAAGCATGTCCACACTGCCAGCGTAGTTTTAGCCAGCCGTCTGTACAAAAATGGTTTTGCCACAGCCAGGTAACGCTTCAGACTGATGCATGCTATAGTCTGGGCTGAACAGTAAACATTACCGTAAAACAAAGCTGTGATAAGCCGACAGGAGATTTCCCCAAATATCCAGTTGTTTCCGTTGAAGTGGTAGTGAACTCGCAGTGCAAGAGAAAGCAGGAGCAGCAGGTCAGACAAGGCCAGGTTCAGGTATAGGACTATTGTGGGCAAGGACTTTGCCCTGAGTCTGAGTCTGAGGAAGGTCAGGATGTAGGCATTGGAGGGGATACCCACTAGCATGGCTATAATGTATGATGAAGGTATGACCCAGGTGCTGAGGAGCCCTGTGGTATAGGCTGTGACTGGGTCCTCTGGGTTCACATCCAGATGAGGGTCTGTGCTGGGATGGAGCAAGGCTGGCAGCTGGTTTGTGTGATTGGGTTTGGGCATTAACCCCTTGAAGGTTTTTGGTATTGCGCCAGGTTGAATATCGGTTTTGTTCTTGGTTCGATTTCCTGTAAAGAATACAAGAACAGTGTTTATAGCATTACACCATCATTTGTCTACTGAAATTGCATTTGCAACCACAATAAGGCAGAGATTTAGTTAGTCATGCTGTTTGTTTTTTGCTAGTGTTGCCTTGTTTTCATCTCAAGACAAAATGTATGCAAGTGTATGCATTGTTAAATAATGTTAATGCAGTACACTACAGTCACTACACTTAGATTTTTGTTTTGTGAGTTTGAACTTATCCAGTTAGTATTTAACACAATTAAAGTTTCAAAAAAGTCTAAGCATTAATATAAAAATTTTGGGCCCCAACTGAAAAAAATAAATGTGGTCGTCCTGTTAATCTCCAGTTTTATTGAACTTACCTTCATGCTGACTGGTCTGTACTGCCATCAAACAAATGAGTAGTCCTGGCACAAGGTCGGCCATGTCCCCCTCAAGTCTAGATCTCAAAGTTATTTAAAGGTTCCTTGTTTTCACGCGTGTTGCTACTGCTTCTTTTTAGGAGTTTTCCATCTGTGAAATATGCTGTTTTTCATCTCTGCAGCGGCAGTAGAACTGATAATGGTGTGTGCTAGGGCTCAGCTTCCCGTGAGTGTATGCGGGATGCTTTTGTGAGCATGCTTCCTGTCCAGGCTCGAAAACTGAATTCTCTTGTGCCTGCGTCAGTAACTCCCCTCTGAGTCACAGGGGTGGGGGGGTGGGTGGGAAGGGGGAACTGCTAAATGGTTATCCAACAACTGCACTTTTGTGTATTTTACATTATCTTGGTTTTGAAGTAATTTGGCTTTTGCATTTTGTAAAGAGACGATTTTTGTGTTTATTAGCCTGGTTATGAAACTGAAGAATCACTGCTGTAATAAGTGTTTTGAGATATTGTAAGTTTCTGTTTGAAAATGTATGTGATTCTTCTAATGCTCCTACATCATGTAGAAGTTAGTGCATGATTTTATTATGGAAACTGGATAATAGTTTTAAAGTTGTTTATTTCAGGGGGGTTGATTTCTCAGCACACTTTCTTTTTTTCCCCTCATTTTCCTGTTTTGCCTTTGTATTGTGCGGCTCTAAACATGATGTCTGTTTGATTTATATCATTAAGCTTACGCTGAAATTATATTGCACAGAAAACAAAGACATTTCCATTTATAACTACCAACTGGGAGCGTTTTCATCGCATTACTGTGATTGGCCGACCTCTCTTGGCACTCTTACAATACATGATGAGTTTGTTAAATGCAGATGTAAACAGAGATACTACTTTTAGACTGCCTCAGTGTTTTTTTTTTAATAGTGACTTCCTTCCTGATGGTCTGTGGCAAAGGATACACCGCAGACCCTTCTTTATAAATAGCCTGAGAACAACTACAACAGTCAAGCTGAATAAACAGTCATTGTGCTTGTTGTGATGTTACACTGTTAGTCTTACAAGGGCGGTTGATTGAAGTGCGGGTGAGGATGTGTTTGTGATTCATCTTTTGGCAAGAATTCCTTTTCCGTAGTTCTTACCTCCTGACACGTGGGAAATAGTACTGTTGCTGTAATAGTAGCAGCTTGTGTGGTACTACTGGTGTGGAGAAAAATACTGGATTTACGACTTTATGTAAACGATTGCCACGATCCTAACTTGAGTAATTTGCATTTTGTACTGTAACTAGAAGATTTTGTGACCTTGTACAATTGATTACTTTAAAGATTTTTGCAATTTAATATCAAGTTAGTGTTGTTATGGATGAATAATGTCTTTTTTTTCTGAAAGTAACAGAAGTGACCTTGTGCTTTTATGTGATTATAGAGTTCTGGTGATGAATCTGCTGTCCTGTGGCTGGACCAAATCCAAGAGGCCATACTAACAGCCAACCAGGATGGAGAGGAGGCTCTCGCATGTATGCTCCCAGTTTTTTAATTCACTCACGTATATGTCTATATGTACTACTCATCCAAAAAATTGTTGATTAAGGCCCATTTACTTATTCTTGTGTGATGAGCACATAGACTACTAGAATAAGTACACTTAAATTGTTGTGACTTTGCATTTGATACACTTTTTAAAAACATTTTAATTTTGAGATGTTTTTGTTGTAAATAATAAACAAAAAAAGCAAACTTTTCTTTTCTAATGGTATAGCTTCCTCTTCATTTTGTAGAAGTGATGTGGTTGGCCTGTATGTTGCCATTATGCATTTTTCTCTATTAACCACAGCCTATTGCTTGTTGTGTATTATTTCTTACACGTATTGTCGTTACTGTGCAGATTCGATACTGTTTACATGTTTCACTCACCAATGTCTTTGTCTTGTTTGCTTTGCTAGTGGCTGGAGCAATAGCTGATATTAACAGGATAGTGGCTGAGGGGGACTCCCAGAATACATTGCAGGCTTTGCAGGCTCCCAGTGCAGGATTGAGAGCAGTGCTCCCTGAATGTGCTGACACATACCAGTCTGAACTGGAGCAGGGACAAATGATCAGCGCTGCGAAAGGTAACTGTCCTTACAAGCATGAGGGATTCTGTGTGTTTAAGAAATAAAGCATACACCATGCACAGTCTCCTGATTTTCAGTATTGGTGCGTCATTAACTGTGTCTGAAGGAGCACTTTTTGTTTTCCTCCAGGCAGCAATGATAGTTTGTGGGTAAAACACTGCATCAAGGACAGATATGACTACTACTATAACCTGGAGACTGGACAAGGCACCTGGGAGGAGCCTGCAGAGTTTGAACACAACAGTGGCCAGCTCAGTAAAGAGGAAATCCAGGTACTTTTCTATTATGCAATGTTGCATTGATGTATTTAACATCCCAGTGATGACATTTATTTGATTTTTGGTAGATTCAGTGAGGTACCTTTTTGACCGTATTCTGAATAATGTGGGATTGATGTGACTTTTTCTCTCAGAATGTTGTCAGCTGTGCGACTGCAGAATACAACAGGGAACAGTTATGGCTGGACAATGAATCCTTCGTCATCCAGTTGCAAGCGAGGATCAGAGGTTACCTGGTCAGGAAAAAGCATGCAGAGAGAATGGAGTACCTACATCAACAAGAACCACATGTCATCAAATTGCAGGTAATTTATGGCACCACTATGAAGTATGAAAAATGACTGCTTATATCAACTTCAGTGGTTTCTGATGCAGCCATTGGTGAATTAAGTTTAATTACATCCACAGTGTTAGCCACTGAAGATAAACATTTACTCCACCCCATAGTTTACTCACCGCATATTGCTGGCATCACTCTTAAAAGAAAATCCAATACCAGGAAAGACAAAAATTACATTTTGAACACTGGCACCACCTAAGAGTATTATGAACCATCCAAGTTAAATAATCTATGTTGTGGTATCACTAATAAAAACACACATCTTGTAGCATGTACATACATTTTTAATCACATTGTTTTCCTTTTTTTTTGCAGGCTTGCTGGAAAGGTTACAAACAGAGGAAAGAGTACAAAGACAGGATGCATTTGCTGCAGAAAAATGTTGCTTCTGTCGTCAAGGTGGGAACAAATTTTTATAAAATAAAAACATAAAACATAGTTTGTTGAGTGATTCGGCAACTATGAATGAAAGCTTTACTACTACTGACTACCAAATTATGTTAACAGGGGTTTGCAAACACCTTATTAATTAGTTTGCGTGTAACCATGATTAACATCATGGCTACCATGTCAAAGACCTGACATAAAACACTGTTGTTTTTAGATCCAGTCTCTGGTGAAAATGTGGAGAGCAAAACATAGATACGGTCAGAGGCTTCAGTTCTTCAAAGATCATGTAAGTAATCCTTTAATCGATCAACTTTACTGTTGTTTTTGTCATGCTGCTTAAGACTTACTGTTATCTGTGTGTTTAGGAAAAAGAAATTGTGAAAATCCAGGCTTTTCTAAAGGCCAACAAAGCCAGAGATGACTACAGAACCCTAAGTAAGTCAAAGAGGCTTTGAGATTTTAATTATGATCACATTGCAATTTTGGTCAAACTAAATATTTTCCTTAATCTGAAGCTTACATTGTAGTCAAGTATTACTGATTTTTCAATGTGTCAGATTTTTTTATTTCTCTACTAGTCATTGTCCTCACATTAGTTAAGATTTTCTTCTTCTCAGTTTTTTTTAAGTGTAAATCTGTCAATCCTCTAAAAACACTTGACATTCCCAAATTATAATCCGCATTCTGATAGATGTATGTTGATATTTAGGTCAAAAATGTGGTAATGATAATTTTGTCTTTATCACCTGGCTCATAATATATTTGTAATATTTGATGGAGAAATTGTAAAAGTTATATCATTACATATGTGTGTCTATATATATGACCAGTGCTTTTGTTGACTTTTGTGCCTTAGCTGGAGCCAAGGATCCTCCACTGTCAGTGGTGCGAAAGTTTGTCCACTTGTTGGAGCAGAGCACCCTGGATCTGCAGGAAGAGCAGGAGGTGACACGGCTTAGGGAAGAAGTAGTCACCAAGATTCGCTCCAATCAGCAGATGGAGAAAGACTTAAATCTTATGGACATAAAGATTGGACTGCTGGTGAAGAACAGGATCACCCTACAGGTAAGCAATGTGCAATGCAAACCATACCTCAGTCTTTACACCATTTACAGTCTGATGATATCAAGTTATGTATACTACAGGAGAAGTTTAAAAGTTGTCATTTTTTTATCAAGTTTAGCCAGGGTTCCTAATTCACCATATCTCAATGTGTTTGTTTCATTTAAAGGATGTTGTGTCACACAATAAGAAAATGAAGACAAAGAAAAATAAGGCGAGTAAGGACGACTTGTCAGCAGGAGACAAACTGGGTATTAAGGGCCTGAGTAAAGGCAAAAGACGGAAACTGGAGGCCTACCAGCATCTCTTTTATCTGCTACAGGTATTACAGAAATGTGTCTACTCATCTAAGCCAACTTGAACCACAGTTTAACTCTGCTCATCTTAAAATTAAGATATCCAAGTCCAGTTGCAAACACACATGACCCTGCTTTTCTGCTCTTCCATCCCCTTAAGACCAATCCAGCCTACCTGGCGAAGCTGATCTTCCAGATGCCCCAAAACAAGTCCACCAAGTTTATGGACACTGTGATCTTCACTTTGTACAACTATGCCTCTAATCAAAGAGAGGAATACCTGCTGCTCAAGCTCTTCAAGTCTGCTTTAGAAGAAGAAATCAAGTGAGAACTGCAGCTCTAAACAAAATTTAAAATCCACTGTACCTAGTCTGCATGTTGTAGTGATGTCATGGTTATATTGTGCTATACTTACAGTAAATACGATCTTTGGAATTCCCTAAATATGTTTACATTGCATTTTATTTTGTTGTTTGGTCGACACTCCTGATATGTTGAACAACTTTTTTTATTTGTGCCAGTTCTAAGGTAGACCAGATCCAGGACATAGTGACAGGAAACCCAACAGTCATCAAGATGGTGGTGAGCTTCAACAGAGGTGCACGTGGTCACAACACGCTCAGGCAGCTGTTGGCTCCAGTGGTCAAAGACATCATTGAAGACAAGAATTTAGGCATCAACACTAACCCTGTGGATGTGTACAAAGCCTGGGTCAACCAGCTGGAGACAGCTACAGGAGAAGCCAGGTAACGTAAAATACAGTTGGAGGAAACATTCAAATTTCTGAACTGAACTGAAACACACCTGCAAAGAAAAACACTCAAAATGGCTCTTTATCAGAACTGTAACCATGAAGCTCAGCATTGAAATTTCTCTCAAAAACTGAGAACAATGAGTCTGACACTTGTATAAATATTTACTTCTGCCCCTCAGCAAGCTGCCTTATGAAGTGACTCCCGAGCAGGCCATGTCACATGAGGAAGTACGCAACAGGCTGGAGGCATCGAGTCTGGTGTTGCGGTCTGCTACAGATAAGGTCTTAAACTCCATTGTGTCCTCACTGGATAATATCCCGTAAGTTTTCAGACCTGTTAAGTGTCAGTGTGTCTGCTTTTCCACTGTGTCCTCTGTGACAGATTTGCTTTTCAGTGTCTCTGCTTATTGGTCAGCTCTCAATAAATACATAAGGTTGAATAATATTCATTTTTTTCCTTTGTAAAGAAATGCTTAGATTTTTTTCATGCTATTCTTTGTTTTTTTTTTTTTTTACTGTATATTTTATTCTCCTATACAGTATTTGTCTCCTGTTTTTAAATTACTACTCCATAATAGAGTGAAATATGACCAAATCAAATGATCACACACTTTGATGTGACTACATAATTACTGCTCAGTTGCAAGCAGTCACCTGATTGTTAGTTGATTGTGCTTTGTATGACATGAACTCTACCAAGTAACCCAGTTTTGTGACATGGGTATCGATCTTTTTTTCATTTCTTTCATAAAAAGGAACTACAACAACACATATCTCAGAAATCCTTGAGGCTAAACTGTTTGTACCACTAGATGGTGCTGTTTTATTATTTTATCATGCTAATGGAATCCCTGTCATTAGTCCAGTTATTGATGCATCAAATTCATCCCCAGTGTTCCTTGTCATGAGCTTGTTTTATCATTTGCCGTATAGCATGTAAATGCATGTTGTTTTGTGTTGCTTTTTGTTTTGCATGTAGTTATGGCATGAGATACATAGCAAAAGTTCTGAAGAACACCCTCCATGAAAAGTTTCCAGATGCCTCAGAAGATGAGCTGATGAAGGTACACTCCCACAGTTGTGTAAATATAGGTGTTTCATATCACAGTATAATATACAGCATATATAGAGCCCTTTTTGTGAGAGAAATTTATGTTTAAAAGATGTTTTGATAACATGTTCTGTTTGTTCATGTCAGATTGTAGGAAACTTGCTTTACTACCGCTACATGAACCCAGCCATCGTGGCCCCTGATGGTTTTGACATCATCGACATGTCAGCAGGAGGACAGCTTCACCTCGACCAACGTCGTAACCTGGGATCCGTGGCAAAGATGCTCCAGCATGCTGCTGCCAATAAGCTGTTTGAGGGCGAGAATGCACATATGACACCAATGAACAACTACATATCTCAGACATATGAGAAGTTTAGGTAAGAAAGAAATTAATGTTGACAGAAAAACTATGCTGTGTCACAGGTACAAATGTTCTGTAGAAATACTGATTTGTGCAAGCTCAGGACAATACTGAGCATGCGTGGGACTTGTGTGGCTTCCTAATTACAAACAGTAACCTTTTGTTCCATGTTCAAAAAAACACAATAAAGGGAAAATGCATGAGGTAGCGAGAGAAAAAAAATCTTCCAATAACAAAGTAAACCGTATGGGAAAAAAAAAAAAAAGTTCATTGATATGTTTCACTTAGAGATTCAGTTTTAGTTAACGTGGTGGAAGTGGAGGTATCTCCGGCCAAAGGAGAAACTGTTATGTGCTGTGTCAGCAGTTGGGAGACAAAAATCAACTGGATTACCGACAAAATCAAGAATGAGAAAGTCTGAACCAGTGTGTGTGCTGCTGTCTGGTGCACTTTGCCAAATTGTGAGTGACTCATGATTACGGGAAATATACACAAACCTTTGTCCAGTTTCTGGGAACAAGTCAGTGTCAGCAATTTACTCTAGTTGAAAAACATCACAGACACATTGAAGAAAATTCAGCATTTTGACCAAGTGCTACTTTATTTCAGGGTGATTTTGTTATTTCTCTATCAGTATTAGAAGTTTAAAGACAGACAACCACCAGTTCCTGAAATATTTTTTTCTTTTCAGGTTATTTTTCCAATCAGCGTGTGATGTCCCCGAACCTGAGGAGAAATTTAATATTGATGAATACTCGGACATGGTGACCTTGAGCAAACCCGTCATCTACATCTCAATAGAGGAGATCATCAACACACACTCGGTAAACAAAAGCAAAATGATCTAATCCTTCCTGCAGATGCATGTCAGGATGTAATTCAAGTCTACATAAATCAGTTCAGGAAAACATGCTGGCTTACAACATGCCTACATATATCAACTTACAACACTGTAAAATAGTCCTTCTTTAAGTCCACTGCATGCTTGTACCGATTCTACATGCATTCATTTCTATATTTCAGTACAAACAATCATACTGTTTCTCTGTGCAGCTGGTTTTGTGTTGTTTTTATCTGTCAGTTTGCCTCTTTATTATTTTTGCTAATATTGCAAGTGAAAGTTTAATGTATTTTGGTATTACTATTGTAAAAAGCGTTACTGTCAAAACCAACTACAATCAGGTCTACTTTGGATTTTTCTTTTTCTCCTAGCTAACTATATTTCAACATTCCCCCAAGTTTGTCTTTTGTCATTGCTTCCTATTCTCAACCCAGCATCTCAAACAAATCTGAAAAGTCGATTTATAGTTAGACATATAGACGCTTTGTTAAGTCACACAATTCTCATTGTACACTTTGTCATTCAGACATATAATCTGCTGTCCCTTTTATTTTCCCTTTTTAGGATTTTCTCTCACACAGTCACTTAATGTACTTTTTTTCTATCACCATCCTGTTTCCTTTCTTTATATTTCCAGACCACTTCCTTTGAAAGGGGGTTAGTGGTGAGGACATCAGTTTGTTAAAGGCAGCTGTGTCCTTTTGCTTCACTCAACACAGGGGCTAGCAATGGAGATGAGGTTAACACTGGTTTAGGCAGATGTTCCCACAACTTTCATTCGCACGTTAAGATAATGTGGTTATTTCCTGCTGTCTTAGTCTGTCAAGAAAAACAGAGCAAGCTTAAATGGGGGCATGACTTCACCTGTGTGGCTGTTGTTATGTGGCAGCTGTAGCTGTGTTGTGAGCCACAGACATAGTCAGTACTTTATACTTATATATATGAAGGTTATGATGGATTTGCCAAGAGAGAATCAGTGTAACATAAGAGGACCTTAAGCACCAGTGACATACAGTCCATTCTGTTCTTTCTCTGTGCCTTTATCTGTCTAGTATCACAATATGTTCAGCGACTAATTGCAGTGAATCTTTTTTAGTTTGTCTGTAGAACTTATCATCTGTTTCTGTTCAGCTGCTTTTGGAACATCTGGAGGCCATCTCTCCAGACCACAACGACCTGCTGCATGAGCTGCTGCAGGACCTGGGAGACGTTCCTGATATAGAAACACTGCTTGGTAATGTCCAGCAAACTTACATTTATATTAATCACAAGTTAGCTTGCTATAGGGCATTAATCATTTTATGTGCTGTGCTGCTCTATTTCAGGTGAAGGAGCTGTGGACCCAAATGACCCAAACAGAGAAAGTGCTCTGAGCCAGCAGGCGAAGACTGAGATCTCCCTCACCCTGACCAGCAAGTTTGAGCTGCTGGAAGGAGACGACAAAGACTTAAAGACACTCATCACAAAGTAAGTTCATTGTTGGAGAATGCTAAGACAAAAAACGTTCAGAATGTTAAGTTTGTCCAGAAAAACAATGTGAAGGCTGAATTCCTTCAGTATGAGGACTTAGAAATAATTAGGATTGAGCTGTTCAGCTCTGCAGTGGCCATCGAATGCAAAACCTTCACACTGAATCCTACTCAGAAGTACTCGGCATGGAGTTTGGGATTGCTGTGAATTCTGTGATGCACTGTGCTTAACCCTTCTTAACACAGTGTATGTTTCTTTGTGGCTATCATTCAGTTGCATATCTTTGTTGTCTTTCCTGCGTTTCTATCATATCCTGTCCAAAAAGGAAAAGGTTTTGTGGTCAGGGTTATCTTTCCCATAAACATGTATCCGTCTGCATCACTTTCTCAAGAGACTCTG